TCCACATGGTCAAAGCAATGGTATTCCCAGTAGTCATGTATGGCTGCGAGAGTTGGACCATAAGGAAGGCCGAGCGCCGAAGAATAGATTCTTTTGGACTATGGTGCTGGAGAAGACTCTTGAGAGTCCCTTGGACTGCAAGAAGATCAAATCAGTCAATCCTAAAGGAAATCAACCCTGACTGTTCCCTGGAAGGCCAGATAATGAAACTGAAGCTCAAATACTTTGGCCACCCAATGAGAAGGGAGCACTCACTGGAGAAGAAGACCCTGATGCTGGGAAAGATTGAAGGTCAAAGAAGACAGGGACGGCAAAGGATGAGAGGGTTAGAGAGTGTCATAGATGCAACGAACATGAAGTTGAGCAAACTTCAGAGGACAGCGGAAGACCGGAAGGCCTGGTGGGATCTGGTCCATGGGGTCGCAAAGAGTCGGACTCGACTGTGCAACTGAACAACAAAAATGTACTGACAATCTGGAGTCACAATATTCTGACACAACTTACATCAGTACATAGTATCCTATTTGATATTTTTATATTTCTAAGAATGAAGTTTCTAATAAACTGGTGGGTAAATAGCTCCAAAGCAGCTATTTCCTGCAGGGGAACCGATCCCTGTCACCTAGAGATCCGGCAAAACCCCCGTGGGATGTCCAGTCACCACCTGGAGGTTGGGAACCCTCTCACCCGGCCTTGCCAACTCCAGACCAGGGTTCCCTCTAAGCTGAGTTAGTGTGAGCCAGCTCACAGTTTTTTAGCCTCCAGCTCGCACATTTTTGTCTTTGCTCAGGAAGGAGGGCTCCGGAACAAACTAATTTATGCAGTGGCCAAATCGCTCGCTCACAAATTTAATGCCAGCAGCTCACAAAGTAGAATTTTGGCTCACGGGACTCCACAGCTTAGAGGAAACATTGCTCCAGACTCTCCTGTTGCTCCTGGGACTCAGATTTCAGGGTGGTGGTGACCGCAGTTTCCCCACCACCACCCTGCTGTGCAGAATCCCCTCAAAAAATCATCTCCAATGGTGTTTTAGACAAAGAAGAAGAGACACCGCCCTTCACTACCCAAAGGAGTCTCAGAGGAGCTTACTATCTCCTTTCCCTTCCCCTCCCCACAACAGAGGTAGGTGGGGGCTGAGAGAGCTCTCCGGAGGACTGCTCCTGAGAGAACAGCTCTGAGAGAACTTGTACCTGACCCAAGGTCACCCCAGCAGCTGCTTGTGGAGGAGGAGTGGGGAATCAAACCCGGTTCTCCCAGATCAGAGTCTGCGCTCTTAACCACGACACCAAACTGGTTCTCTCCAAACTGGCTCTCTCTTTACTGAGTTAACGTCTTCTCCTAGTTTTAACTCCAGACATTTCGATCCGGACCGCCTGTCCCCTTGGTTCTGAGCAAGCCGATTCTGCATTGAAGTCATTTGCGGTCCCTGTTGTCCCGGCAACTGAGTTACTGAAGTGCTCAGCTGTCGCACTGGATCGAAGGCGGCCAAAGCAGTTGCTGGCCTCCCAGAGCGACATGAACAGTGGCGGCGGCAGGCTGCATTCCAGGCGGCGAACTCACCACAGGATTGCTGCTACAAGCTTCTGGCCCGTTCAACACTCCGAGCTTGCGGTGGTCGAAGCAGGGAGCAGACTCACACACGGCCGCCTAATCTATCTGTTAATCTAATAGGGTTGCCCACTTTTAGGTGGGGCCTAGAGATCCCCCCCAGAAATATAACTGACCTCCAGGTGGCAAAGGTCAATTCCTCTGAAGAAAACGGCTGCTTTGGGGGATGGACTGCAATGCCTCTCCCCTCTCCACTCCCCAAATCTCCAGGAATTTCCCAACCCAGCGTTGGCAACTCTAGAGCAACACCACTTATAGAACTGATCCCTACAGGAGAGGGGGATGTAACCGATTCACTCCTGGCTGCTTAAAACCGGGTGTAATGATTTCACGGTTTGGTGTGTGTGTTTCTTTAAATGTTTTGTGTGACTGCAGTACTGTAAGAAGAGTGATAGAGGGAGACAAGTGTGATGTGGTTGGCTGAGGACTCAGAGTGTGGGAGGAGGGGTGTCTATGAGAGTGATTCTGTGTGTGAAGTTTGAAGAGAGAGCATAATCTGTGAGAGTATGGGAGTTTTTGAGTCTGTTCTGTGTGAATAAGACAAAGAGTTCAGCCTGTGTGGCTATATATAGATGAGAGAGAGAGAGAGATTAGACTGTGTCTACGCCTGTCAGAGTGGAGTTTTGGGAGCTTGAGAGACTGTTTGTGACACCAAGCGTTGCCAGTTATATTTACAAGTTCCTTTCATCAGCAACAGTTCATAATAACCAGAAACATATTTTGTTCTTTATTAAATAAATCGTTTCTTGTTTAAACCTATCCCAGAAATCAGAATAAACCTTCCTCAGGGCCACATAGTCCTCTGAAGTGCCCAGACCCTGGGTAATTCTACCAAAAGAGAGACATTTGGAATTTTTAGTTCCTGGTGGCAGCAGAAATCTACCAAGTTTAGGTACACAGACAGTGTTTTAAAGGTAAAACCGTCTCCCCAATAAGCAGGACGTCACACTGGGGTTTCCAAATCACTCCTCCAAGGGCTGGAGAAGACTCTTGAGAGTCCCTTGGACCGCAAGGAGATCAAATCAGTCAATCCTAAGAGAAATCCACCCTGACTGTTCCCTGGAAGGCCAGATAATGAAACTGAAGCTCAAATAGTTTGGCCACCCAATGAGAAGGGAGCACTCACTGGAGAAGACCGTGATGCTGGGAAAGATCGAAGGTCAAAGAAGAAGGGGACGGCAAAGGATGAGATGGTTAGACAGTTTTATCAAGGCAATGGACATGAAATTAAGCAAACTCCGAAGCACCATGGAAGACAGGAGGGCCTGGCGTGATGTGGTCCACAGGGTCGCGAAGAGTTGGACTCGACTGTGCGACTGAACAACAACAACAAAAGGGCTGCCGAATGCTCTGAGCCCGGTGCAAAGCAGGGCGAGATAGAAATCTCAAAAATAAATGTATAAATAAACCCCCAGGTGGGACCTGGAGATCCCCCCAAATTAAAAACAGTTTCCAGATGACAAAGACCAGTGACTCTGCAGAAAATGGCTGTTTCGGTGGGTGGGCCTGTACAGCCTTATCCAACCCCTTCTCTCCAGGAATTTCCCAACCCGGAGGTGGCAACCCTCTCTTCTCCTCTCCCCCCACAATCCCTTGCAGCCTCCC